AAGATGTCAGCCCCCTCCCCCGAAGTCCCAGAGAGTTAAAACCCTGGTCCCAGCTGCCTGGTTTTGAGGAGGGGCCGTCCCAGGCCCTGCCCACTGGGGGGCATCCCTCTCACCCCCCCACCCTTGAGCTGTGGCAATCCGTGATGATGGAAGCTACATTCACACAGGGAGAGTTGGTGTGCGAGGCCAAAGCCGCATGGGGGGCGGTGGGGGACCATGAGGGGAATGCCCCAGGCCTGGTCCACCCTGGTGGAGTGAAGGGCAGGGCCACAGCCCCCCACCCCACTGCCAAGCCCTCCCCTCCCACCCGTGGGGCCAGGAGTTGAAGGGCTTGGGCCCGGAAGACATTTGCATGGTGCCTCCCTCCGTGGCTGGGCAGGGGCAGCCTCGTGGTTCAGGGCGGAGAGACGGTGGGCGCCAGGCTCGGAGGGAGGGGGGTGGCACTTAGGCCCCTCCGGACCTGGAACGGAGAGGGGGCGTCAGGGGAGGAGGTGAGGCAGGGCCCAGAGGGAGAGCCCCTGAGCCGGGCCCTGGGAGGTCAGTGCTGGGCCCTAGAGGCGGCAAGTTACAGGCTGGCCAGGGAGGGGATCTGGTGGGAAGTTCAGACAGCGGTGACATGGAAGACAAAACAGATGGGACGCAGAGGTAGGCTCCCCTCCCGGGAGAAGGGGGCTGCAGGGGACACAGCTCCAGGACCCATCTGGCCAGGGGTGGTCTGGCCATAGGAAGGGCAGGAGGAAATGGACCAAGGCCTGGGGGGGCAGGTGGGCGGGAGGAAGGGACAAGGGCAGGCTGAGGACTTCCTTCCCGGAGCGGGGCTCTCCCACCCCTGTAGCGACAGCAGTGACAGCAGGGGTGGGGGAATCAGCCCCCAGCTCCCCATCAACAGAATGTGAGGTGACGAATGAGATGGAGGAGACAGGGACAGCGGGAGGGATGACGTGGCCGGCATCACACTGCCCCCTGCTGGGTCGGGTCGTACCTTCCCCGGCGGATGTTTCTTCAAGAGCCAAGGAGAGAGCAGGCAGGGAGAGAAAGGAAAAGGAGCCATCGGTGACCTTGCCCTTCTCTCAGGGAGGGCCTCCCTGGCTCCCATGAGACCCCTGGCATGGGCCAGGATCCCCAGGACCGGGTCACTAATGATGGGCCTAGGAAGAGATGCCTGGGTTTGAGTCCTGTCTCAGCAACTAACTCATCAAGTGACCCTGGGCCTCAGGTCCCTCCCCTGCACGGTGCAGGCGTTAGACCAGCTCGAGGGCCCCAGGCCCAGATGCCCACAGGACACCGTGGGCTACGTGGGGCCTAGGGACGGAGGACACGGCCGGTTTCCAGCAGCCCCTGCTGGGCTCCACTCCACGGCCGTGCTGGGAGGCACTGAGGCCCAGTCTTCTCCTTTTGCAAGAAAAGCTGGGAATCAGGATTGTTAATGTAAAATTTCTTGTGTTTTTGGTTCGTCTGTTTTTGTTTTTGTTTTTTTAATCTCTTGGAAATGTGAGCAAAACAAGACCGTGTGGCTGACTGACTCCGACTGTGATGTGTGAGCTTAGCTAACTTCGCAGGGAGGCCCCTCAGCTTCAACGGTCTGGGGTTCTGATACCCCCCAAGAACGCCAAGGGATGGGGGGGCATGTGTGTGTCTCTTACTTAAATCCCCAGCCCGTGCCTCCCAGGACGATGGCTGCGACCAGGACAGCCCCCGCGATGGAGCCGATGATGATGTTGGTGCCGCTGGGACCTGGGGAGGAGGGCAGGGCTCGGTTGGCGGGGACAGGCATGGAGAATGGGAGAGACAGAGCTCCACCCCAGCCAGCTCCAGCCTCACCCTTGTATCTCTCCGTCTCCCCCGTGGGGGGAGACGTGGGCAGGGGGTTGTGAATGCTGCAGTCTTTGCCTGTCCAGTCTGGCTGACAGATGCACTTGCCTTCGTTGCTGCAGACCTAGAGGTGGGGTGGGGCCAGTAGAGGTGAGCGGGGGCCCTGTCCCCTCTGGGAGCCCCTCCCGGCATCCCTGGCCTCCAGGCACCCACCCCGTGGTGGGAGCAGATCCGGCGCGCCCCGCTGCCAGGGCAGGTGCTGAAGTTGAAGGTAGAGGCTGGTAGGCACCGATGATCCAGACACAGCATGTTGGGCCCGCAGGCTGTGCCATCCTCCACGTAACTCAGGTCGGAGCCATCAGCCAGTTGTACGTGGCCACCCCTGGGGAACCGGCGAAGCCAGCCTCAGCCCTTGCCACCCACTCCCATCACGGCTGCAACCCGCCCTTCCCCAGACAAGGTCTCAGCCCGTACCTGCAGTCCAGCTCCTTGCCCTGGTGGTAGAAGGTAACACTGTTGATGTCTCCCCCTAGGTCCCCCAGCCGAGGAGCTCCAGAGATGTTGACGCAGAGGAGGAAGCCACAGAGCACATCCCTGTTGGGGCAGCGTGGAGACAGTGAGCCCCAGGTCTGACCTCCAACCCAACCGCTACTACTACTACTGAACTTGAATCTGCCCTCTCCCCACCACCTGATTTTTCACATATTCTCCGCTGGGACTCATAGGCTCATCCAGGAACCTGCTGTCCCAACTCTGAAAAAAAACCCTCCTGGGTCCCAGAGCTGGGGAGGCCAACCAGGAGCCTTGGCAACTCACTGTTTATTGCACTGGACCCAGCCTGACCCCTTGCGCCCACAGTTCCCGCGCTCTGTCCCTTCCACGTTCAGCTTCTCATAGCAGAAGCGATCAGCAGCCGCTGTAAGGAGATGACGCCAGGCGTCACCCACTCACCCCAGAACCCGCCCCAGGACCTCAGGCCTGCACCTCCAACACTCTGGCCTGACCCCCGACCCAGCTGGGTTCGCTGAGATCCTGGAGAGCCACACACTCGGTAGAGGGCATATTTAGCCAGAACTTACCCCTCCCCAGCCGCTTGATTCTGGGTCCTCCGGAGTCCCCTCTCCCATTCCTAGCCAAAGACTCACCATGGCCCCAGAGGGCTTGGCACTGCCGGTCCCGGGTTTTGCAGCGACCTCCGTAGCAGCGGCCCTAAGGAGCAAACAGGAGACAAGGACTGAGACACTGAGTGGTCGGAATGGATATAAAACAAAAGACCGTATTGAGCCAGAGGCCCCGAGGGGGACGGCCCCACCCCCCACCTCCCATCCCCCACCCCAACCCAGCATACCTGTTCCTGATCGCAGTAGTAACCATCCAGCTTGTGCAGGTTAGGGGGACACTGTGGACAGAGGGGCTGGGCTGAGCAGAGCAGCCCCAGGACTGAGAGTTGAAGAATGAAGGGGTGTCAAATGCCCCCTCAAGGGGCTTACAGTAGTACAGGGCTCTTCCAAGTCAAGAACAAGAGGTCTCGCTCAGAACTCAGACCACACAAATTGGCAAGTCCCATAGCCTCTCCAATCTCCCTGTTTCCTGTAACTACTTCACAGGGCTCGGAGAACTTAATGGAACTAAATACCTGGCACGTAATGAGGACTTAAGAGATGTTAACTAATACTATTATACACTCTCATCCTGAACACACACCAACCCCGCGCCAGGCCCTTGGAACCCCAGCCAGACTATACTGATTTAATGACGGAAGGAGCAAAACCAGGAGGCATGAAGAACCCGTTTCACAGGCGAGGAAAACGAGGCTGACCAGCGGCGGCGACGCCAGCAGCGGAGCGGAGGGGCGCAGATAACAACAGCCCCGCGGAGCCAAACCTATAAGGATAGGGGTTGCCTCCCACTGGGGCCCTCAGGGCGGCTGGACTGGACGGACCTGGCTCGAGTCCCCGGTGCAGGTCTCCGCGATGTCGCACTCGTTCACCGCCTCTCGACAGGACACACCCCGCGGCTCGTACTGGGAAAGGGAGGCGTTTCGCTGCTCAGCCCAGAACCGCGGACTCCGCGCCCGCCTTCCCCGAGGCCCCGCCCCCCGGCCTGG